CAAAGGGCTTGTGCCCCTACTTGCAAAACCAAATTGTGAAAGGTCACGACAAGGTCATCAAGTAGTGCAGGATTTTACACATAGAGGTTGGCTAGCTGCCAGGGCTGCTGGCCAACTTCTTGGAGCATGTGCAGTCAAAAGTATTACTTTGTATCTATTGGTGGTTGGTACACAAGCAATGAAATAACGACCACTTTGGCCAGGTTCTCGCTTGGTACAGTCGGCACTCCTCCTCCCGCCCTATTCACCTTGCTGGCAGGGGTTCGGGCACAAAGGACCACTGATGAGCACCTTTAGGCTGGGAGCGGGGATCGTCTTGTCAGACTGCCTTGAATGGCAACCTGGATAGTTTAAGCCCAAGGATGGGGGTGGCATTGCCGAATTTGGGGAGTTCACGAGTGGGCCGGTGCAAACGGACGAGCAGCTATCGCCGGGGATGCTGGCTCGCATCCATGGGTTGGTATTTCAGGTTTGCAGTCACCTCCTTGGACTCTTGTATTGCTTGTTTAGCATATTGCTGCTAATTCTTATTGTTGTGGCCAAATTGTGTATTGTTGTTGTATTGCACCTTGCACTGGCAAGGATTAAAACTTCACATTTGGTGAAAGCTTGTTAAACCATGCTTGTCATCTGTGCCGAGTGAATGCTGCCAAAATAACCACAGAATTTGCCTCCAAGTGTTCCAAGATAGCAAATTTGGGGTTCATAATTTGAACATGAAAACATGCAACCTGAACCATGTCTTCCTAGATTTACATCAAAGCAAAAGCACTCTCACTTGTCCAGAATTGCTTGGTCAATTTTTAATGTTTGAAAAAATGCAACATTCAGTGCACGTAACTCAAAAAAAGGATGTCAAACAGTCTTCATATATGGAAGAAGAGTACAGAGATAACACAAAAAGAAAGAAAAATTCATTTCCCGGATCTTTTTAATACTTTATTATAAAGGTTATACTACCACTTACCTAAATTTGGTCTTTCAGTCTGCAGATTTGGGACATTGTGGAGTAAGTTGTTTCAATGTAGACCCACAAGTCCCGGTCTCTTCCTGACGTCTTTTATCTGCCTTGAACCTGTTAATGAAGGACCGTGCTTCATCGACAATCGTGAGATACACGTCTTTCAATGGTGGGTGGCCTTTGGGTCTTTTCACCTTCAACTCCTGATTCGGAGCTTTGGTCTTTGGACTTTCATTCAGCCAACTAATGTCCACTTTAGGACAGGTTGCAATAATAAAAAAGAAATCAGTACTTTTCTTAAGAGACATGTTTCACATATAGGGATATCGATGAAATGCATCACACTCTTTTTCCAAATTTAATTTTTGAGTGCTCCATAATTTCTTCAGGCAAATCCCCCCCACGCCACGCTACAAGTCAATTTGTTTCACTTTAGCCAAAGTCAATGTAACAGCACATTTTCTGACAAAGCATGGGTATTTCTACATGTAGTTCAATTTTTTCCTGTCTAATCTGACAAGATTTTGTTTTTAGAAAACATTCTTCAGTTTCCAAGAGTAATTAAAGAACACAAGTATCCTACCAAGTAAATACGTGTATTATTTTAAGACCATATCAATGACAGGTTCCACTGGGCGGATGTAACAGGTACACAGAAAAATGTCACTATATATATTGAAAAATGTCACTATATATATATTGCGACCTTTTTTTTTATTTCGGACCAATTGTCACGAGATTGAAAGCATTGTGGGCGTAATAGTATTTACCTGAACGATTTTCAAGTTTACAACACAGATTTGGCAACACTGTTGGGTAAAGTTGATTTGAACCACGCAAGAACACCGTACTGACCCCAAGGAATGGTAATGCGTCCTTCTTACACCGGACATTGTATCGTCGAATGTCTGTTTCTGTGACTCAGAACACTGCAGCGGGTTGCTCGCTATACAAATACATGTGCTGGCATTCCGCCTTGAAAGGGTAATTTGCCAACCCGTGGCCTAAGGCTTCGTCTGTGAAATCCCTGGAAATCGGTCAGGCACCCCGTACCAGCACGACGTGGCTAGTGTCTTAGAAGTACCGACTGGTGGCGTGTTTCGCGTATAAACACTGCTTATTAAGGAGGTCTGGAAAATTACACTCTTTTCAAACATCAGACTTCTTGCCAGCCACAAAATACCCATAACCATGTCAGCAAGTATTGGTCCTTTAGGCAGTACGGCAATTTTCATTGGGAAAACTGGAGAAATATTTCAAAAAGGAGTTTGAAATGTTGCATAGTTCAACAAAATTTGAACATGATTTCGATTAGTTTTCTTTCGTGAAAAGTCACTTTTCTTTTAATTTGCTTATTTCAAATATTTTATTTTCTGACAGAAGAGATATGTCATAATTCTTTCACACACTTGCTGAATTTTACCCCTTCCAGGGGCTTTGTTATTAAGTGGCAAACAATTTATTATAGGACCTCCGACACAAGAAAATATCGCTTTTGTCGTCTGCTAGTATTTTTTGCAAGCTGCCAGCACACTGAAGGCTGCTGCGCATGCACAACTGCAGAAACTAAATGTCCACACGGCCTATGGCAGTGAAACATACGTTACACATGCATTACTACACATGTACTGAGTATGCATAACCTGTGCATGCACTAATGTTCATCTTCTATTGTGCTGTGGTTTTAGCTGTTGTTGGCATATCTTAACATTAATTAGGCATTCGAACAACACACTGTTGCATCTCATTAATGAAATTATCTGTGCCAAACCAACTGAACACTTACATGGAATACTGAGAATAAAGCATTTGATCATTTAATGATAAAATGTCATGAAAACGATAACATGACATTGTGCTCAGGTACACATTAAATCCGTTCTAACAGAAACATGGTAGAACGTGAGAATTTGGATGAAGCTTCATGATCTTCATCGGATTTCGACGGTAAAAGTTCAGATTTGTCCACATCTGATCAGGCTAGTTATTGTTTGGAAGTCACCTCAAGTGATAATGAAGAGGAGGTCCTGCTTGGGGCTCAGTCGAATATGTTTGAGCCCGAAGTTTTGGACGATTCTAACAGTGATTCCTTGTTTGACAAGTAGGACGAAGATCCGGAGGTACGCCTCAGTAACATCGATTGGTGAGAAGTTTTTTTAATGATTGTTATTTGAAAAAGGGCTTCCTTTTAGGTTAATGATAAAACAGTGAAAGATTCAATGTCTCATTGTATGCCTCGTGTGCATGGACCATGATGTGGGTGCACGCCATGTTTCCCAGATTTCCTTTGACTGTGTTTTCAACGTCTTTCAACCTAGTATAGTTTAAGGTGTGGTCTGCGCTCTGCAGCCAGTCCAGTGTTGCCATTGCTTTTTGGTCCAAAATCTTTGTTGTGCTTCAGGATTATTCAGACATGCTTTAGCACATCATGAACAATTTCATGTCTTAAAAACTAAATTCAAGCGGCAAGTGTAGTTTACAATACATGTACATGTAGGCCCTACTTGAAATGTGCATGCACACACTGATGTACACGTATGCCTCCTAGCATGAAGCTGTTTATAGCTCCATGCTCCTAGTTCCAGGCTACTTGTATATCACAATTTCTGGGGGCTCTGGCTTATTTTTTTCAGGGAATGATATGTAATTTTTTATGTCTCAGTAATAACTTGGAAAGAGTTCCATAAACGGACATCGCTTGAAAGACTGAAAATGAAACTGATCTGAAAATTTCTGTCTGCCTATGGAGCTCTTTCCCTAAAAATTCAGTAAGCCTTAAAGTATTTTTTCACTGCTAGGTCTGTTTGTGGTGGGTGCCAAGCAATGGCAACTGTTCCTGAATGTGTGTGCTGTGAAGAAATAGGTCAAGTTTCTCGCATGGCAGATTCATATGATGGACTGCATCACGCACCATTCTCCAGACTTCCCGCCTT